AACTAGGACACAAGAGGGGACTTTAAAGAAAGTGACGAACCAGTCCTGACTCTTTCCTGGACCGAGGAAAGCAATGAACAGAGGCAGCTGAGAGGCCTCCCTAAATTAAGGCTGCCCAAAGACAGAAATCTGGAAACATTCACAGTTGAAGGTGTGGGGTCCTTCGCAAACCTCTCCTGACCTCCCTGGGCACTGACGTCTGTTGCACTCTGGGTAAAACTGGGAGACTGGTGGCTCAGGGCTAGGAGAGGTGTCAGAGAAGGCTGGTGCTGGTGGCACAGGCCCACGGGGCAGCATGCCTGCCAACATGATTCATGGCTTCCCCCCAGACCTGCAATTTATTATGATTTTGTGTTTCTCCAAAAGTCAAAAGTTCTCAACATCACATGCTTGAATTTTCACCTTAAAAGTCCCCTTTTAGTAAGAGCAGCTTGTGCAGTCCCTGAGTCCCCTCCCTCCACTCCCAAGGGACATGTGTAGAACAAGGCCGCCTGGGTGGCAGCAGTTCCTCTTGGAAGAGAAATGTGTTTCTTCTCTGCCCTGCTGTTTCTGGCAGGGGACACACACTCCTGTGCTTGTCTCTGGAGCTTGCTCCAAAGGATAAATTATACAGGCAACCATCACTGCCAACAGCAGCCGTGTGCCCCTTGTTTTCAAGACTGAGGGACTCACACTGGCTTTGATAGAGCATTTAGAAAAGAGACAAATTGAAACTACTTGGGTCTTGGAACTGGAGTGGTGGTCAGTGGGTCGGAGCGTGTTCTGCTCTTGCAGAGGACCTGAGTTCAGTTTCCAGCACTTGTATCAGGTGGCTTACGACGGTTGTCACTACAGCTCCAGGGGGATTTGACATCTTTGAACTCTAATCTCACGTACTGACACACGCATAAACACACAACTAAAAGTAATGAAACTACATCTTTAAACAATCCAGTCTTTCAAATGCCTCAAGAGCTCCTGGCTGTTACTCTGTGTATGGGATTCTATTGAATCTGGTTTCTCCTTGGAAAAGAATAAAATAGGAGTTTACAAGTGTTCACTAAGCTGGGCACGGTGGGGCGCACACTCAGCACTCACAAGGCAGAGTCGGGCAGATCTGAGTTCTAGACCAGCCTGATCTACGATAGCAAGTTTCAGGCCAACCAGGGCTACATGGTGAGACTGTGTGTTGATAGATAGATGATAGACAGACAGACAGACAGACAGATGATAGATGGATGGATAGATAGATAGATAGATAAACAGACAGATAGAGCAAGCACATACTTTTGAATGTTCCAAATACCTTTCCTTGGCTTTTGCTCCTAGCCACACTCACTTTCTGGCGATTTCCTCCTTTCTGGCGAGCCTACCCATCTGCGATCCCTGGGGTGGATCAGACCACAGCACACCAGCCAATCTGTTTGATTTCCCATTTCTCCTCAGGAAATCTAAAAACGCTAAGTTTCTAGGATGCATTTCAAGGTACAAAGACCTGGAGAGGGCTGGGAGATGGCTCAGCAGGCAAAAGCACTTGCTGATCGAGTGTGAGGACCTGGGTTTGACCCCCAGAACTCACTAAAACCAGGCGTGGTGCCTCTGTCATCCAGGGCTCCTACAGGGTGCTGGGCAGCCGAGACAGAACTCCCAGCTCAGCCTGTACAACAGAAAACAGGACAGCCCCCCTCAAACAAGGTGGAAGGTGAAGACTGACACCCACGGGTGTCCTCTGAGTGCCACATGCACACCACACTACACCCATGTGCATTCCACCTCCCTCTCCCTACACACATGGGAGGGGGGAAATTAAAAATAAACAAAACACTGGCAGCTGGCTATGGTGATGCATATTTTTAATCTCAGCACTCCGGAGGCAGAGGCAGGTGGATTTCGGTGAATTCAATGTCACCCTGGTCTAGATAATAAATGCCAGGACAGCCAGAGCTACATAACAGAGAGACCCTGTTTGAAAACAAAACAAAACAAAAAATCAAGACAAAACTGAACATGGTGCCAGACAGGTGCCTACCCTGGAAGTGGAGCAAGAGGATCACAAAGTCAAGACCCTACTCTGCTAATAGTGAGTTTGAAACTAAAGTTTGAAACTAAACATGAGACCCTACCACAAAACAAAGATAACAAACAAAATTAAAACCAAACAAAGCAAAACAAAACAAAAACCCTCTGACGGGGACAGAGTACAGTCTCTTTCAGTAGAAAGCTTTGAGGCATGTGACTTTAGGCAAATCACACAATCTGGGCTGAACTCTCTCCCTGCAAAAGAGGTATCCAGCCAGCTGGCCGGGCTGTTGGATGAGTACCTACTGAGGCCGCTGTGGTGTTCGACGGATTGGATAAAGAATCAGTTTAGAGGAGGCTGGAGAGATGACGGCTCAGAGCAGGTAGTGTGATTGCAGAGGCCCCAGGTTCAGTTCCCAGCACCATATCATATAGACAGTTTCTTTATTAACCAATGGTATTCACAGCATACAGAGGGGAATCCCACATCAACCAAGTGCTCCTAACCACTTAGTCATAACCTCTCCAGCTCCAAATCTGAGATGTCAAAAAACACTGGCTGAACAATGCAGCCGAGGTGACAAATTCAACAGTCTCGTTTCAGCCACTTCCACAAGCTATGTGACATCCATATTGGCAATCCATCTCCTTTGCAGACTGACCCATGCATTTTCTTTTCCCTTAAACTACCTTGTGATAGTTTCCCTGGTAACAAACCACAGGCTTCCCATTCCAGAGAGCATTGGCTAGAAACACAGCAGGCCTGCAGAATAACCTGCACTTAGCAGAGGAGGAGCTGGCACACAGAGAGGAGGCTGTGCAGCACTGCTGCTTCTAGTCAGGGCTTCTGGACGGAGGTGTGGTCTTCAAATTTCAACTGTTCTGTAGCAGAGGGTTAAAAGGAACCGTGAGGAATGAGTACAACCAAGCCCCCAGTGACCACATGGCACTGACAGTCAGAGAGGTAGCCATCCAGAAGGTTGCAGACTGCTCCAGACTGTACTTGCTACTTGTCCTTGAAAAAGTACAAACTGAGCAAGGGGTCAGAAATGCTTACAGATAAGAGTATCCACCTCTGGAATATGCAGTTCAATTCTTCTACTTGCATTCTTTCTGGTTTTGTGAGTGCATGTTCACCTGAGGGTGCACGTGTGTGGGGAAGCCAGAAGAGAACCTCGGATGTCATTCCTTAGGGGTGGCCCTTTGTTTTTGCTTTTTTAAACATAGTCTCTCACTAACCTGGAGCTCACCAAATGGGCTAGCGTGGCTAGGATCAAGCCTAGCTAGGATCTGCCTGCCTGCTTCCTCCTCCACAGCGCTAGGATTATAAGAACACTCACCATGCAGGGCTTTTAACAGGTTCTGAGACTCAATTTAGGACTTTTCTGAGCTCTCTCCCTAGCACCCCTACCCCCACTTTTATTTTTTTTTAAGACAGGCTCTTATGTAGGGCGGATTGGCCTCAAACCAGCTATATAGCCAAGGATGGCCTTGCACTCCCTGTCTCCTGCCTCCACCTCTCAAGGACTGGAATTATAGACATGTACCAGTAGATCCACCCTGTATACTTTGTCTTTTTATTCATTTTTTTATGGCTCTTAATATTCACTCATGTTTCATAAATGTATTGCTCTGTAGCAAGCAAGCAAACTATATGGACATCTCAGTACTAGGTTAAAAACTTCCAAAATTTTCAGTGTGAATGGGTATGGGTATTTTTACAACAGCAGGATATTGCTAGAAGGCCCTAGAGTATTCCACTCCAGACGTAGAAGAAAAGGTAATGAAACTATGGTGTTGGGTGTGCTGCTGCATTCAACTTTACAAGCGAACCAAACGATAGTTGTTTCTCCATCAGAATTCAGTAGAAAAATCACGAATCTTCTAGCTCGTTTTCACCCTGGGAATGAGCAGCGGCTTCATTCCTGTGCTTTAGACTGTAGCCAACGCATGGTACTCAGTACCAGAAGGCATCCTAGCTGAAAACCCCTGAATCCGTCAAAACCCGATTCAACCCCTACCTTCGCTGCTTGACAGCTTCTGGCCTCTGGGTATATGGCTTCACTGAAGCAGTTTCCTTAACTACACATGCAGATGAAAGTAAGCGGAGCTGTCCGTCTCATCTGTACCCCCCAGACTGCTGGGAGAGTCGGTGAGTGCACCCCAAAGCACAGCAGATGTACACGATGAGATCGATGTGACAATCCCAGTCTTCAAAGAGCTGACCCAAGTTGGTGGAGCAACAAAGTTACAGAATACTGATATTCCTCAAATACGTTAACCAAAGACTTTACCAAACTAGAAAATATTGCTAATTCTCTCCTTGTAGAGAACTCTTTCATGGCTCTTGAACCATTTGTCTCCCAGGACATAGCACCACAGAGGACCTCTGGAGGGACAAGAAGAGAGCACACAATGCCTGTCCCACGCAGCTCAGTGCCATGGTGCTGCCAGCACTGGGCACAGAAAGGACTTGGTGATAGCAAGAGAAAAGCGATCTCATTTTAACTTGTTTAACTATTCATAATGTTAGGTATATTTCTAAAGAGGAGTCTCTCTGCTGATGCAAATAATTCCGATCAGACCAAATTAGACCGAATAAAAGATGCCCACGTTTAATGCAGCGCTCCCGGGTGGCTGGGAAAAGCATGGTGAGGGAAAGAGCAGGGGAGACCACACAAATCCCGGAGACCACGTGTTCCTTTTCTGGGTGGGAGCCTAAATAGCCTGTGGGAGTGGTCCTGACCGTCCCTGGGGAGGGGTCAGTGCTTGGCAGGCTTTCCCGGAGGTGGAGTCTGAGGGGTCTTAGGATGGATGCCAGGGGCTGGGGTGATGCTTCCAATCATCCCAGGCTCCTTGGATATAGGGGTGTCAGAGGGCTGAGATCTCTTTTGACCAAACATCCCAGAGCCCCTGGATATAGGGGTACCAAGGGACCTCACTTTTGACCAAATAACTCCCCTCAAAAGGGCCCAAACAGAGCACACTCTTCATTCCTATACTTTAGGCAAGACAAATGATTCACGGTTTAGCTTTATTGACATTACAGTAGACAGGACGAACACATGCTCTATAAAATATACATTCTTATGTGAGAAAATATAATCAATACCGCGAAACAGCCACACTGAACAATGTGGCTTGTATATCTTTAGAGGTGCCTTATAGGAGGGCTGCTTAGCTGGCAGCCTCTAACGGGAAAAGAGAACAGAAGACAGCAGGAAGCAGAAGTCACTTGTGGGCGAAGAAGCCATCTCCAGCAGCCAGGACATACTTCAAGGGTACATGAAGTATGAAGATCAGTTTCTCTTTGGAAACAGTCACAGTTGCTACAAACTCACTGCATGTCAGAACACCAGGTGCAGACAAGTCAAGCTGCTCTGCACCCTCACTCCACCACTTGGTCATTACCAGCGCTGCAAAGAAACAATTCACAACCGAGAAGGAAGAATCATAACTTAAAGCACACGGGGCTGCGAGTGCTTACCTGGGTTTGGTTCCCAGGACACCACACACCAACCTCTCCTTCCCCTCCCACCTTCTCACAAAGCCTACGAGTCTTGGGTTTTCAGATGTTCTAAGTGCAGTTTCTAATACATCCCTAATTCAGAAGCTTGGTACTTCTGCCAACAAACTAATGTTCAAAAAAGAACAAGAACAGAAAAATCTAGGCTAAATGCTGTATCCTTAGATCATGTTTCAAACAAAAAGTTTAAAGTGGAAAGGGAGGTGCAGCACACCTCCATACTGGACTGGCAGAGAGCACCACCAAACAGAAAAAAACTCAGCTCAGCCATTTATGGTCCCATCGTTTTTATAACCACTCATTAATCTGTAGCAAAACATTTCAGCCAAGGCTGCAGCTCAGAGGTAGACCACTTGCCTGGTATGCAGGAGGCTATAGATCAATCCCCAGGACTGCCAAAAGGAAAAAAAAGAAAAAACCCAAAGATAGACCAAGTTTCACACAAAAAGAGAACAGATGTGGGAGAACATGAACTTGCCACTCACAGAGTTGTAGGCTCAAGGCCCAGCACCAGGGGAAAACAGCCACACTTACCGGCAGCATGTCAGTGCATAGCCAATGAGAAAAGGCTATCCTCACACACTTGGGTAAAACATCCTAAAACTGCAATGCCAACTCCACTCCAGTTGGGCTCCATGGGCAAAACCAAAAATTAATCAAGACAGACAAATACCTATAGTTGCCACATTTGAGAGGGTGAGGCAGGAAATTGAGAGTTCAAAGCCAGGGGGCTAAAAAAAAAAAGCAATATTTTTTTTAAAAATCAGAGTAAAGAGTTATAATACAACACAGGCTTAAATTTTTTGTTGGAGGAATGGCACTTGTGTCAGAAGTATAGGGTTTTTCTTCAGAGAAAATAATGCTACAATTTCATGCTTTTAGCTGGGAACACAGATCAGATTCCTTTGTTAACCAAAGTCCCAAATGGCTTGGTTTAAAAAAAAATCCTGAAGTGTACTAAACCAAACATAAAGATCAAAGGACAAACTCCCAAGCTAATGACAACATGGCAGACGTCACAGGGACCTTGCCCGTGTTCCACTCCATCGGAGGTCTCTGTGCAGTATGGCTAGCAATGACGTCTGCACACACTTCCCCACAAAAGGCAGGTTATTTCCATCACCAGAGAAGTGTACTTTATACCTCTCTACAACCAGATGCACATAAAGACTTCTCTCATGTCCCCCTTTTCACAGAATGGCTGACAGTGCCGAAACTCTTGGTCCTTTACAACCCTTCACTGGGCCACGTACAGCCTGCTGAGTGAGAGTCACCTCACCAAAAACTGCCTGGGCAAAGCTTCTGAGGTGGGGTCTTACAGACAGCTGTTCACAGGGCTGGATTTCACATACTTCCTATCTGGACAGCAGCCTGCAGATGAAGGTACAACCAGCAGAAACCCATCAGCTGGAAGAAGCACTGAGGAAATGCCAATTTTATCACTATTGGAGGGTAGACACTGCTTGGTCAAACATGGGCAAGTTTTTTCAGGAATTCCTTTCTCTAATGTAAGAAGCTATTGTTATTCTTAAAGCAGAAACAGGCTCTTCCCATCTGTAGATGGATTCCTAATAAGTTATGTAACAAGCCAGGGATATCTGGGAGGGAAGTCCAACATTTCGCAACCCTTAGGAGACCAGCCTGACACCCCAGCAGAAAGGTTACTGCTGAAGCTTGGAGGTGACGTCCTGGATGAAGTATTTCTAGAGGACTGGGTCAGGGCCTGCTTTCTACCCTGACAGATCACAGCTGACAGCGCGCTGAACTCTGACCACAGAACAAGCGAGCGGCAGCACACCTCCACTCTGAGCCCACGTGCTGGAGCACTGCTACTCCAGAGACAAAATGCAGCTTTTCAATCCAGACGTGAGTCTGTTTACTGACACTGTTTAAAAGCAGAGACTGTTCCCTCCCCTGAGCATTTCTTAGACCATTAGTCCTGTTTTGGGGAAATAAATACAGCTAAAGTCAGAGCAAGCAGCATGACTCTTGATCTAGCTAACAGCTGACAAAGGCGGCTCTTTACTGAAGTAGCACAATCCTCTCTGGTTCCTGGAGAGCTGGAGAGCGGCTTAGAGCAGCTAGTAAACAGCCTCTTTCCGCAGTAAGAGTCAGATGTGGCTAGCCAGGGCAGCACCAGGAAGGGGCCGGCTCTTAATTTCTAGTCAGACCACTATAAAACTGGAACACAGTCCAAAAGGAAGAAAGCGTATGGTCCAAAGGAATGAAAGACTATAATAATTTTTTAAAGGTTCAAAATGAAAATGAAGAAAACATGACCATTTAAGTAGGAGGCTGGTATTACACAGAGGACAGGCTGAAAGCACGTGACATTTCGTTAGCATTAGTGTTGACATTTGTTGTTTACATAAAGTTTTTTGGCTCCCGAGGGCACACTTCCCTTCTTAATACACTGCTACATTCGTGGAGATTAAAAACAAAGTAAACATAAAAAAAAGAACAATCTTTGGTTTCCTTGTCATCAAAGCACTTTGCTGAAAGAAGACAATCCCCAAATAAGCCATCTTCTATGCTCACAGGGCTGTGGCAAGGCTGCCGGGCTCTGGAAGAACAAGACATTTATGCTACGAGAACAAGGTTATCACCTGGCACTTGTAAACAGACGGTGAGTGATTGGATGCGCGGACCTTCAGGCGTGAAGCAAGCAGTTAATTACACCAAGCTCGAGTTTGTGAGCACACAATCACAAAGTACCCTGTCCCTCTACTTGAGCTTCGTGACAAAGTCTTAGAGCTTTAAACAGAGTTTGTAGACCTCACTAAACTAAGTTATGCAAAGTCTATGATCTTGAGAAGTTGCTGCCCATACAGTAACTAGATAGGCATTATATATAATTTGGGCATATCAAAAATATTTACACTGTAGCCAACACACAAGGTCAATGAGTAGAAAAATTATTTATAAATGTACATATATTTACAATGACATCCCTGGTTATAGGGACAAAACAAACATACAACACACACACAAAAACAAAAAACAACTCCAGAAGAATACAAAAGCCTTTGCTCTGGTACCAGTTGGCGAAAGGATTCCAGCCGAAGACCTTGAATATCAAAGTCTCGGCCTCCATTCTCGAGTCTCAGTCAGACTCAGGAGAGCTCAGAAGTTATCTCTGTTCCTTGCTTGGAAGGCAAAGTAAAATGTCAAAGCAGTAATGTCTTCTCACGACCATTCTGAGGACTGGGGCAAGCCAGCAGCTAAGCAGCAATGACACCCTTCATGGCAGGCAGTGCACACCTAGGCATGTCACTGTGAGGCCGTCTGGAGGGACACTTGTCCATCGTCTTCTGCCGGGGCTGTGACCTCTCAGCGTGGTACACACTTCTGTAGTACATTTCTGCCAGCCACTACCTTTTCTTCGCCAGGTGTAAGGCCAAACATCAGGCTACTTTGGTGTGGCCAGATATAATTCGAAGCAAAGAGTAATGCAAACGCTGACTTTGGGGGTTCTTCTCAACTCTGAGGTAGTAAATGAACCAACCTGAGTCTCTGCTCAGACTTTCTCGTGGACGGGCTTCATGTGCCCTCACTACCATCTTGAATGTTCCGAGTCCTGCTGAAATCAAAAGTGTGGTCATGTAACTTGTGGCAGGACACAGGTGAGGAGCAGTTTGGATCCCTCTCTGCCAGGCCCTCATGTCGCGGAAGCTGTGGTGACTCAAGGACAGGCTGTTGGCAAAAGGGAAGCAGGCCTGGTTCTCTGTTCATGTTCCACAGAGGCCGCTGAAATATTTCTGAGAACAAGAGACAAGAAATATCATCAGAGACAGCAGGAATTTCAAAATTAATTTCTTGGTATCGTTTTTTAAAAATGTGTATGGGTGTTTTGCCTGCATGTATGACTGTATATCACATGTGTGTCTGGTACCCAAAGAGGCCAGAAAAGGGAACTAGATCTCCTGGAACTGAAGTTACAGACAGTTGTGAGCTGCCACGTCAGAGCTGGGAATCGAACCCAGGTTCTCTTTAAGAGCAACAAATGTTCTTTATCCCCAGCCCCCTGATACCCTTTTAACCTAATCATCAAAAGAAGTAAAGATGCCCAGCATCCTTGATAAGGACACTGAGATCACAATGCCAACATTAAAAACAACAACAAAATAAAAACTGGAACTACAAACTACCAAACCTTTATATTCAACAGAACTAAAAAGCTAGTTTCTAATACCATGCTTTTTTTCTTCACCTGCAAATTTAGTGGCTTTTCTGCTTTAAAAACTGTGTTGGCTAATTTCATGTCAACTTGACACAGGCTGAAGTCATTGGAGGGAATCTCAACTAAGAAAATACCTCCCTAAGGTGGGGCTTATCGGGTTATAATAAATAGCTATATTTATCAGACCGGGATGAAAACCTGCTAGCTATCTGATGGAGAAGGGTCATCTGTCTTTTGGTTAAGGTCATTTGTCTATCTGTTGCTTTCATTGGTTAATTAACAAAGAAACTGCTTGGCCTTTGATAGGACAGAAAATTAGGTAGGTGGAGTAGACAGAACAGAATTCTGGGAGAAAGAAAGCCGAGTCAGGCAGACACCATGGATCCAGCCACCAGGTCAGACATGCTGAATCTTTCCTGGTAAGACACCACTTCGTGGTGCTACACAGATTATTAGAAATGGGTTAATCTAGATTTGAGAGCTAGCCAGTAAGAGGCTAGAGCTAATGGACCAAGCAGTGTTTAAAAGAATACAGTTTCTGTGTAATTATTTCAGGTAAAGCTAGCCATGCGGAGCTGGGCGGGAATGCAGCCCACCGCAGCTCCCTACTACAGAGTGGCACCCAGACATGGTAACTAACTCCACATAAAACCTGAAAAAACACTATACCTTCCTGTGTGACCCTGTGATGTGGGATTCCCCTCTGTATGTTGTGATTATCATTAATGAATAAAGAAACTGCTTTGAACCTATAGCAGGGCAGAACTTAGCTAGGTGGAGAAAATTAAACTGAATGCTGGGAGAAAGGAAGAGGAGTTAGAGAGAAGCCATATAGCCCTACTGGGCAGACGCCGGTAAGCCACAGTGTTGTGGCGATATACAGATTACTAGAAATGAGTTAAATTAGTATGTAAGAGTTAGCTAAGAAGAAGCTAGAACTAATGGGCCAAGCAGTGATTTAAATAATATAGTTTCTTTGTGATTATTTTGGGGCTGAGCAGCAACAAGTGGCCTTCCTCACAACAACCCTGCAATTACTGCCCTGTGCCCCATTCCCCATGTTCTTCCTCTGAGAGGAAGTGACAGCTGATTGGTCCAGAAAGAGCTCTGTTTTGCTGACAAAAGCTAGGTATATGGTGCTGTGATTGCTTGCCTGACAGAAGAGCAAACAAAACACGTTAGGTTTTTCATGCTGTATGTGTAGCACTTCATATCTCCATTATTTAAATGAAGATAAGTAAAGACCTCTATTTGACACTAGCTAATTTGTATACTAATATAATATAGTATAATAAAGTATAATATAGTATAATATAATATAATAGTATAGTATACTAATTTGTTTCCTGTGAAATGAGTGTACTACCGATAGAACAGAAGGGCAGATCAGGTGAAAGTGAAATCAAAAGTTCAGAAAGGAACAAAAGCATCCATTACCACTGCTCATCTGTGAGAAGGGAAGCTTCTCAGTCATCCTCTCATGGTTGGTGGGAAAGGCAGAAAGCTCTCTCTCTGTTGATGGTATCAGACTCTCCAGAGTAGCAGCATCTTGGGGAGGATGTGATAAAAATGTCTCTTTGGGCATCTGAACCATGAGGCTGGACAGAGTCTGATCCAGAACATCCTCCTCAGCAACATAGGTGTATGGACAGTATTCTCGGGTCCTCGAGTAGATGTTGGCATTGTCATAACAATCTGAACAGATCACCCGGGTACCAGTGCCACCTAATAAGATGGGAAAGAACCCATATGCTTTTCTGTTAAGGTAGAGTTTTGTCATAATCAACTTTCTTCTACAGTTGTAACGTTTACTACACACTTACTTTATAAACCAGGTGAGATTTCAAGGTCCTTATGCGAATTAACTCACTTTTTCCTTACAGCATCCCCATGGAGCAGATACAGTTCTCTCTCCACTACTGAGAGTTACGACAGGAGGAAGAGCTGAAATGTGCACCTAGGCATTCCGGCTTCAGAGCCCATGCTCTTGAATTCTAATGTTAAATCTCTGTCTAGCCTACAGAGACTAAACTCCAACTTTAGTTTTAAGACAGGCCTGAACCTGTGCTCTGAGATACAGCTTGGCTTGAACAAACGAAAGCATGGCATGAGAGCCCATGTTACTTTTATCAGTCAATCAACAGTAACTTCTCACATTATCCCTAGTCAAATCCACCTTCCTGGGTCTGTCACCTTCTACAGAAGTGAGGGGGGAAGGGCAAGAGGAGGCTCTAGTCACTTTAGTAGGGGACAGCCCTTTGAAGTTCTCCATTATAGGCTGAGAGTCATATTTTACTCAGTATCTACCTGTCAGGAGGAGAACCTAATGTCCTTTGGATGCTATCTGAAGGATGCTCATCTCTAAAAGGGCAAGAAACACTTGAAAAGAGTTTCTAAAACATCCTCTTCTTGTGATGACAGAGATACAAGAGCCTTGGCTGTGTCCTTCAATTCCTGTTTAAGGGTAACGTGTTTTGTTTTTAAGATGGCTCCTCTGGTTAAGACTTTATAGTCAATTTTCATTCCATGTTGCATGAAGTTAAATGTTCTAAGTATTTTACCTTAAAATATTGCCTCAGGCTAATAGGAAAACTACAATGAACAATAAACCCACTAGAACAGGCTGAAAGTGTAACTACGAACAGTAAAGTGCCTACCGTCAGTGCCTTTGTGTATGTATCCGTTGGCAGGAGGCATAAGTTGCTGATGACTGCCTGCCTCAGAGTTGCTGTAGCCTTCCTGTGGTTCAGACAGTGTTCCTTGGGAAGACAAATAGCTGGGAATGTCTGCAGGCAAATTAAGCTCCTCTGTAAAGAGACATCTGTAACTCTCAAACTCAGGCAGTTGAAGTCAACATTCAGAAGGCAATTTTATAAATATGTTCTACTTTGACACTGTCCTGGAAAACGGTATGGACTTGGGACCCCAATAGCTCGTCATATTCCCTTAGCATAATTTTTTAAACTAATGTTCTTCTCAGAGTTTCATTTTAGAAGTATGACTTGGTTTGCCTAATGTATAGGCTGTGGGTTCACTCCCAGAATTACCAGCGGGGGGTTGGGGGTGAGCGGTTAACAAAAGGAAAAACAAAAAACTAAACATTAAAATCTTATCTACAGCTACACTTTAACAATCTCTCTACCTGGCTTGCTTCTCTTGCAGACCCTGGGTAAAAGACCTAGTCACACACAAGGGTTCAACTCTCCCCTAAAACAAACTATGGTGGAAATGAACCTTAGGCTCTATAGAAAAATATATATATCAGCTAGGCATGGTTCACCACACCTGTAATACCATGCCAGCACACAGGAGGAGGAAGCAGAGGATCACTGCAAACTCAATGTCAGTCTGTAGTTCCAGGTCAGTCAGGGCCATACACTGAGATCCTCTAAAAAGAAAAGAACAAACTGGGCACGGTGGTGCACACCTTTAATCCCAACACTCCGGGGGCAGAGGCTAGTAGATCTCTGAGTTTAAGGCCAGCCTGGTCTAGAGATCAAGTGATGATAGCCAGGGATACACAAAGAAAACCTGTCTCAAAAAATCAAAAGACCAAAACAACAAAAACCCCACAAGAACAAGGAAACCATGCCTGTAATACAATTTTAAGAGCTAAATTTAGGGGGAAGTATATATAGTATATACAAATTCTTACAAATTTTTCCCCAGATAGGTTATTTTCATCAGAAAAAGTTCCTTACATCTCTTAGCAAGTAATCAATCACAGTACTCAGCTTTTTTATTTTTTACTAAATCCTACAATCCTAAGAATACGCCATGTGTCATCTGGGTGCCACTTACCTGTATTTGTGATACTGTAGTCTTCATTTTTCCTTCTCATATGATAAATAACAATGACCCAGATCAAAGAAGTGCCAACGACACAGCAGACCACAACAATGATGACAATGCCAACTGTGGTCCAACCATCATCCTCATGTCCAATGCTATTCTGAGAAGAGTCACAATTGGGGGATGAAATGACATTTAAGTAAATATGTCCTCGTTCTGTCCCAAGGGTATTAGACATAATGCAGGTATATTTTCCAGCATCTTCTAGCCCAGCATCTACAATGATGAGAAGCTGATTGGCTGCAGCAAAGAAGTGTCGTTCTGTTACTAAGAGCGGCCCATCATCTTTGGTCCAATTGAGGCGAGGAGCAGGACTCCCTCCAGCTATGCACTGCAATACTGCCGTTTCACCTCGAGTGATGGTCTTGTCCTCCAGAGGTCTAACAAACGAGGGTGTCTCTAAGAGGAAGTAAAAAATACTAAGTTAGGAAATTGATACCCTAAGACTATTAAGAGTATGATGAAATATGTGGTTTTATGAAGATTAACAGTTAATGTTTCAGAAACACAAAAGCCTCAAAAAAGAAAAAAATCTAATTATGAACTGGTTATGATGATGCATGGCTGTAAACCCTCTCTACTCAGGAGGCCAAAGCAAAAGAATTACAAGTTTACAACCATTTCAGCAAATTAGCAAGACCTGTCTCTAAGAGAAAGAAAAGCAGGGTTGGGATGCTAGCTCAGTACAGCACTGGCCTGGCACACACAAGTCAGGGCTACCAGCCATTAGTGCTGGGATTTCTACTGTTTTTAAGACACGTTATCAACATAACCAAGCTCTTGATCCTTTTGCCTCAGCCCTCAAGTTAACACACTTCTTTTAAAGGTTTTTTAACAATCAGATCAGAGTGGCTCACCTGTAACACATAGTGAGTTCTCAGGAGTTATAGAGTTTTCCTGGGCTATGGGGGTAGTGGGGGAGAAGGAGGAAGAGATGACCCCACAAAACTTTGTATCTAAAAAAACAGAGACCTGAACTGCCTTGGATTCAAGGCATACATTAAAAAACATGTTTTAGCCAGGTAGAAGTGGTATATACCATTAATCCCAGCACTTAGGAGGTAGGAGGAGGCAGATCTCTTTGATCAGCCTGGTCTACAGAGTATGTTCCAGGACAATCAAGGCTACACAGAGAAGCCCTGTCTCAAAAAAAAAAAAAAAAAAAAAAACAAGAACAACAAAAAGTTAAAAAAAAAATCACATCAAAACCTCCAAGCAGCTCTCAGAGGCTCCAGTAAAGCAGTGGTCCTGACAAAGTACGCATACCTAACACAGTGAGTGAGGCGTTTGCTGAGAGGCCGCCTGCGATATTCTGTGCCATGCAGCTGTAGATGCCCATGTCTTCTATCTTCACGTTGGCAATGAAGAAGACATCATCCTCAGGCATGACATGCATTCGTCTTTCTCGGGCTGCAGGAAAGTCAGTACCACCGTCTTTCTGCCAGGAAATCTGAGGTGCAGGGTGCCCTTCTGCAGCACATTCTAATCTGGCCATGGCACCAGTGCGAATGGTTAGATCCATAGGAGTTTTTAGAAAAGATGGCATCTCTGTTCAAAAAAAATTGCAGAGAAAGTAGGCAAAAAAAAAAAAAAAACACGCACAAGCACACAAATCTAATAAATCTAACAGGTGAAATTCTGATGTAAAATGCTTCATTTCTTTGAGAAAACATATTCTCTGGACTGCCAATGAACCCAGCTTCTAAAAGCATCTTTCTCACCAGCACCTGAATGTGTGGAGCACAGTAGCACTGTATTTCTAGAGTACACACCACGCCTAGTGACCATGCCAATGAGAAGGAAGTCAGAAAGTCAAAGTCTTTCCTGAATGTCAGTTTAGAACTTGATATTTAATACTACTCTTTCACTTAGAAAGTTAAATGAGACTTCCCAATCTAATATGAACAAGTGTGAAGAGAACCATGGGATTTTTTGTTTGTTTGTTTGGTTTTAATTATGCTTTTAAAAATCTAACTTAAGGGGGCTGGAGAGATGGCTCAGCAGTTAAGAGCACTGGCTGCTCTTCCAGAAGTCCTGAGTTCAATTCCCTGGAACCATATGGTGACTCACAAACAACCATAATAAGATATGGTGCCATCTTCTGGCCTGCAGACAGACATACAGACAGAACACTATACATAATAAATAAATATTTTTAAAAATCTCATTTAAGAAACACTGGAGCAGGGTTCAGAGCTGGAGAGTTACCTCAGTAGTTAAGAGCACTTGTAGGACTTGGGCTCAATTCCCAGCACCCAGACGGCAGTTCACAACTGTCTGTTACTTTAGTCTCAGGAGATCCAATGCTGTCTTCAGGCCTTCATGGCCATCAGGCATGCATGAGGTACAGACATACATGAAGGCAAACCACTCACACACATAAAATAATAAAATAAAATCTTTTTTAAAAAGCTAGAAATTCAAAAAAGAAACAGGAATAGGACACAAATATATCTTTTGGTTGCTCACAGCCTAAAATGCTGTAGTTACTCAGTTCTCATAGACAATAAACTAAGTTGCTTTGGAAAATTTTTCTTATAACTACTAGGAGAGCTTTATTTTCAAAATCATTAAGGCCATATCGGAGAACTACGGAGACCACTGGATCTGGAGATGTCCTAAACACTCTTGAGTATAGAGGACACAGCTAGCATATTAGAAAAGAATTCATGGTTTTCAAAGAATTGTGGTTTTGGAAAGAAAATGAAGACCATCAAAAGAATGTCTTCAGGAGAAACAGAAGTAGGAGTAAAGCATCTCCTGGGGCAAAGAGTACAGGACAGCAGGTAGGGGGGTAACCCAAAAGTCCACCCCTGCCATATGCCACAACCAAGAGAAAATAACACTGAGAGTTCCCTCCAAATGTGGGGTGTGACCTAATTTTCTTGGTCAAGTGACTTATAATTTAGGTGTAAAAAGTACTTCCAAGTATACCTGCCCATCAGCATGGCCAGATAGGCCAGACAGTCATAGCATATATTCCAGAATTATACAAATAAGCAAAAAAGAAAGTATTTCAAAAGTCAAGTAGCACAATTCCTTACCATTCACAGTCAGTTTGGCTTTCTGTGAATAATTAGAGCCAAAGTGATTAGTGACAATACACTGGTATTTCCCTTCGTCTGTGAAGTTCACATTGAAGAGGTGCAGGACACTAGTGTATTCCAGAGCTTCTTCAGCCTGCTGCCGATAGCGAACAAAATTCTCAATATCCACGTCATAGAGGATTTCACTGTCCTTGCGCCACACAGTAGACATGGGTGAATCACTGCTGCTCACCGCAGTGCACGTCAGAGTCACATTAGCACCTCGCAAAGCAACTGTGCTTTCAGGATGTGTCCTCATCTGAGGCTTCAGAAAATCATCTAAAGGGAATAAATGCAAGTGGCCAAGTCGGTTATTTTTACTTCAGATTCAATTTTAAAACAAATACTGTAAAACTAAAAGCTTCATTCACAGGGGTTAAGATTGAAGGAGACTATAAAGAGCTTAAATCCCTTGTTGTTGGTTTTTTATTTGCTTTGTTTTTTCAATAATTTATTTATTTATATATTTCATTTTGATTTTTCAAGACAGGGTTTCTCTGTAGCTTTGGAGCCTGTCCTGGAACTATAATTTATTTATTTTTATTTTGTTTGCATTGGTACTTTGCCTGCCTGTATATCTGTGTGAAGGTGTCATATCTTGGAGTTATAGTCAGTTGTTAGCTGCCATGGTAGGTGCCGGGAATTGAACCTGGGTCCTCAGGAAGAGTAGTCAGTGCTCTTAACTGCTGAGCTATCTCTCCTATCTAATCCCTTGTTTAAGGTGAGAAAAGTAAACTCCAGTTAAACAGTTTGTTCAAAGGCATTAGGCAGTGACAGAAGGTGGGCTGGAACCCAAGTTCTGGATGTCAGCATCCAGTACTCTTTCTACCATCCCTCAGGACTCTTAGATGCTTACTATCCATTTCCTAAGCATTACCAATGAGTGGGGATAGATGTGGAGAAAAACCTTATGTAAGAATTTCACGATAAATTCTAATTCTACCATACCATGTATGTACACACAATATGATATTTATGTTCCATATATAATGATACATATACAAAATGTTTATGATAACCATTGTCATTTCTGTATAATACAGAAAATGGGAACAAAAACTTACTTTTTCAAGGAAACTACTAATAAATACATGACTTGAAAGTACTTTGTACATAGCTTTGACATTAAATAGTGAAGAATTCAAACAGGATAAATTCACAAGTGAAAACTGGTTTAGGACTGGTGAGTGCACTATGGATTCATAAATAACAACATTATGGATTCAGAGAAGCTGCTACGGAAATCCTGAACCAGTATCTTTACCAGGTAACATTCCATCGTGCCTTCAAAGGTGTAAGTGGAATAGTATAAAACATATGGTATGAGGCAGACCGGTGGCACACACCACTAATCTCAACCCTTGTGAAGCAGAGACAGGCAAATGTCTGAGTTCCAGGCCAAGCTAGTCTGGTCTGCATAGTGAATTCGAGACCAGACAGAGTTACACAGTGAAACCCTGTCTCAAAAACATATAGTATGCCTTACATTTAAAACTAAGTAAAATTCAAAGCATGACAGTGTAAGCAGAATTCAATCCACTGTAAAGAAGATTTAATTATATAAAAAAAAACTTTCCAAGTTGAGAAAAAAAAATAAAAATTTATTCTTGAAATCATAAATGTTATATTCAGGACATACTGTCTGAACATACTGTCTATGACTGTCTCTACTGTCTCAAAGATATGCTGTCACTTTGAGCCCTAAGAAACTGCATAAAGGGGCTCGAGAGCAGTTAACAAGAGCAGTTAAGAACACCAGGTATTCTTGCAAAGGACCCAGGTTCAGCTCCCAGCACATTAGAGCTAACAACCTTCTGCAACTCCAGTTCTGGAAGGATGTGATGTCCTCTTATGGCCTCCCGGGCACTGCACACACAGACATGCATGCAGGCAAAACACCTACATACATAAAATATAGATGAATTAAAAAAAGAAAAGAAATTGCATTTGGGGCAGGGAAATGTCTCAGTGGGTAAAAGAGTTTCCATCAAGCCTAACGACATGATCCCTCAACACTCCCAGTGGAAGGAGAGGACTGACTATCCCAAGTTGTCTGTCCTTTTACCAAAAACTACATCCAAAAAATGAAATTGGTGATTATAAACACCATAATGTTATATACTTAAAATTGCTGATAGCCACATAAACTAATGCATTTTCAAAATTTGTCTTGTTGGTTCTTTTCAAAATCTACTAAAAGTCTTCTTGTAGAAAAAAAAATACATAATGATTCAGAAGTCTTACTTCTAAAGTTAATAATTAAAAATCCTGAAGTCTTATCCTCAAGTTAACAATTCCTCTCAAATAAAGCCAGTGAGAAGGGAGCACTGAGAGGGTCCCTGCATTATAAAGACAAACAAGAACAGTGAGGAAAACAACCATTTATAAAACACTAAGTCAAAGAATACAAAATATATCCTGTATTTGCAAAGGACAGAGAGCAACACCACAGGGCATAAGATGGGCTGTCGAAAGCCATCTGGGGGTGGGTTTTTGTTTGTTTGTTTTGTTTTTGTTCATCTCCTTTATTTTGTTGTTACAATAGTTAAGAGAAATTTAAAAACTTGAAAACAGAAATACAAACCACAGACAAAATCTCTCAGGTCCACATTCAGGATGCTTTGCCCTGCTAACCACTCAGGATGCGCACAGCTGACATTCACAGAATGGTGAAAGTTGTTATCCAGCAGCCACTGAAGCAGCCACTTCAAATGACAATCGCAGAGCAAACTGTTTGTGTTCAGAACACTGCAGAAAGAAAACAAGGAAAAGAACCTTTCATTTTAGCTTTACTCTAGTTTCTCCAGTATAACTTTGCTACACATTTATGTATAGCAAAATGTTCACCTAATTGTAAGAAAACAAACAGCCTTAATTACATGTCAGTGTTATGAAATACATCAAAAAAGACTGAAGGACAAGAGAATCATTTTAGATTAAAGACAAGTAAAGAGTCATTTCATGCATGCATGTTTGTTATGAGACAAGAGTTACCCAGGCTGGCCTCGAACTTAGAATCTCAGAAATACACAATGACACCTACCGACACAATTCTTGTTCGTGGGTAGGGGTTCTAAACAGGGAGGGATATACATGTGTATATATTATATGCATGTGTATATACTTCTGTGTGTTTGGTTTGTTTGCTGGAGATGGGGACTCATATATTCCAGGATGGCTTTGAGTTCACTGTACACAGGGATGACCTTTAACTTCCAGTCCTTTTGCCTCCACATCCCAAATGCTAGGATTTACGGTTGTGCAACACCACATCTGGCTTAACTGGGAACTAAACCTAGAGTTTCTTAGGCATGCTAGGAAAGCACTTTACCACCTAAGCTGCATCTCCAGTCAGGGTGATATTTCCGATATTGGAAAAATTTGAAGATAAGCAATATTCTAGATATAATTTTGTAAATGTTAATTTCATTGAGTATGAAAATGACATTGTAGCTATGTAAAAAATGTCCCTGGTTTTAGAAAATACCTGCCAAGCTATTCAGAAATAAAGTATCATAACATCTATAATTTTTTATTTTAATATGTGTTGAAGTTTTTCCTGCATGTATATGTAATATGTGTATATGCCTGGTGTCTGAGGACATTTGAAGAGAGTATCAGATCCCCTGGAACTGGAGAAACAGATGGTTGTGAGCATGAAATGTGGGTGCGGAAAACCAAACCTGAATTCCCTGCAAAACCACCAACTGTTCTTCACAGCCAAGCCAACTCTCCAGTCCCTCAATGTCTTTACAACTTTTAGATGGTCTGAAAACAAGACTTATATGTACAATGTCTACATAAAAACTATATATGTGCAGAGATGCAAAGGTGAAGGTAAGAAAAGAACAAGGGGCATTGGGTAAGTCTGTCAGAAGGTGAATAACTAGTATATTCTGGTGAAAGGGGTGTGGATAGTCATGTATCGGGCTTATGTTCCTGACGTTTAAATTCTTGAAACATTGTGGGCAAGGCTAGTCACAGATTTTGAAGCACTGAAAGAGCTCTATGTGGGAAGTATACTGCTATTTTCAAATTATTTCATCAAGACTTAAAGCACTTTAGCCCTCTGGCAATATACTTCAACTCAGAGTGAGAGTCACTTTTAAAAAATGTTGTCTATAAAACAGATCCCTTTGAGGGATCAGTGTTTTTCTCTCCGTGATCCCTTAGCAGAGAAAGCAAACAATTTGGGGAACACTACAACTCATTCTTTGTGCATGATTTAAATCTCTATTAACTAGGTGGGAAGGGGGATCATGCCACAGTACATGTATGGAGGGTCACTCCTTCCACTGATCTGGGAATCCAACTCAGGTCATCAGCCTGGGAGCCTAGAAACTGTTTTTACCTCTTTAAACCATCTACCCAGCCCTTAAAATATTTTTAAGTCTGCACTTATTAAAATTTCTATGCTTTTTGGCGTTCCTCCTCACGCTTTGTGATACTCTTGAGAGTTACATATAAAAGATACTTTTTGCTAATATTTTATTATATAATATTCACACACTTCAGGGAAAACTCTGTGTGTGCGTGTACACTGTTAGGCTCTTGTAGGCAAAGTAGGTGTGAGAGGGGTAGAAAGCAAAGAGAGAGAGAGAGAGAGAGAGAGAGAGAGAGAGAGAGAGAGAAAACTGTACTTGAATTGAGGTTGTCCTCATGTCTCAGCTTCCTAACTGGTAGGATTATAGGGCCTGAGTCACTACCCTTGCCTGATAAAGGTTTTCTTTTCTTCTTTTAAAGGGAAACAGGTAATATAACCACGCAAGCATTGTCTGCCCTATTTTTTAGACACAGAAATCAAGACCTAGCAGATTTATAGTGTGGTGCCTAGTGTAGATAGCAGATTAGAATCTGGAGCTGTCCCAGCTTTGTATAAGTAAAAAGGTAACAGCCCCCAACCCCCTCCCAGCTCTCCTAGATATTAGTAGCCCAAAAAATACACTGCCCGTGTCCTCACTGCCATTAATCAGACTTAAAAAGAAAACCTCAGGAGATTCTATAAGGGCAAGAAATAAAAGCCTCTGGACCTGTGACCCAAGGAGATGAGAGCTATGTGCCATCTATCAAGCACAAAGAGAAGCTGAAAACCAAGAAGTAGCAGTAGAAGGAACTGCACCCACTGCACAAGTATGCAGTCAAGACCTGACGTGGTCAAGGCAATACAGTGCAAGACTAGCAAAAAAAAAAATAAATAAATTATATATCAATCACTAGATGGTATAAGCCCTTAATAATGGGGGGCACATTTCTATGAAAATAAAAACAAGGTTCAGTGGCTAAAACAAACTGTAAACTCAAGTTTCTAAATCCAGAAAAGAGTAGCATGGTGGCACACACCTTCATGTGGGAGGCAGAAACAGGTAGATCTTTGAGTTCAAGGCCAGCCTAGTCTACAGAGTGAGTTCCAGGACACTCAGGGATACACAGAGAAACCCTGTCTCAACAAACAAAAACAACAACAAAAGATTAACTACAATGATTCTTAGATGTTGGTCTCAAAGCATCTTCAGAGTTAGGATGAATCTTGGCAACTATCAGTTCCACATTTCCCCAGTTTCCACCCAGCAACATGCAGGAAGGCAGGCTATACAAGACTGATTACGATTACAGCATCTCTCCTGATGCAACTAACAACTTTGGGGGAAGGCTGTTTCCTTATGTACCAAGTCAGGACGCTGGAGAATAAATGGAAACATTATCTCAGAAAGCTGGCGAGAGGTACGAGAGCAAACTAGAGGACCGAGAACTCAGTACAGACTGACAAATCTACACTACAGAAACCACAAAGGACACAACAATTCTCTCTCTATAACCACTCCTTCCCCTTTACTCTTGTTTAAAAATAAAGCCAGTTCTCATTAGCTTTGGCTCATTATTTATAGCGCAGTGAGAATAGTGCTTGACCACAGTGGCTTTTTTAAATTAGCTTTGCTGGAAGTTTTCAAAGCTTCTCAGCAGGTTAGGAAGCCAAGTCAGGAACTGGCCACCAGACATAAGCTCCAGGATTTACCTTCGGATAGTTCTTTTTTTTGCTAGTCTTGCACAGCTAGTCCTAAAGGCTCCCAAAATACTCAGAAGTTTGTGGGACAGCCAGAACATGCTTACTTATAAGGAAAAACTTTTAAGTTTTTCCAGGAGCTTTATAAACATTGGTGTCTTAAGGTCAACCTGAGTTCCTTAAAACTCTCTAGTCATACCTGACTTTATGTCACTCAAATATGATATTTTAGTCAAACTCTCCAATTGTGTACTCTTAAACGGAAATACAATCCAACTCACTTTACATAACAACTATATTGTCATGAAAATAATGATACCCACTAAGTTTCTGAATTCTGGAGAGCTCTATAGATAGAGGAAGGCAATCATATCCCCCCTAAAGATATAGTTTGCCAAGTTGTTCCAAGTCATAGAAAGCCTAAGAAAAAACAGAAATGAGTTCCTTAAATCTGGAAAGAGAACAGTAAAGAACCAGCAACTTGACTGGTTCAGTCATCATCATCATCATATTATTATTATTATTACTATTACTATTATTATTGATGAATGGTCTTCCTAAGTAGCCCTGACTGACCTAGAATTCACTATGTAGGGCTGGAGAGATGGCTCAGAGGTTGAGAGCACTGACTGCTTTTCCAGAGGTCCTGAGTTCAATTCCCAGCAACTACATGGTGGCTCACAACCATCTGTAATGAGATCAGGTGCACTCTTCTGGCATGCAAGCATACACGGAAGGGATGCTGTATACATAATAAATAAATAAATCTTAAAAAAAAATTCACTAGGTAGTCCAGGATGTCCTGGAACTCAGAGATCCAACTATCTCCCCTACTTTAGTGTTGGGATTGAAGAAAGGCGCCATTATGCGCAAGCCCCATAATTAATTTTTGAAGTGTTTTATTTGTGTGTGTGTGTTTGGGTATTTTGTCTACATATATGTCTATGTACCAAATGCATGCATGGTACCCTCAGAGGTGAGAAAAGGGCATGGGATCCCCTAGGACTAAAGTTACAGACAGCTGTCAACTACCATATGGGTGCTAGAAAGTGAAGCAGGGTCCTCTGGAAGAGCAGATAGGGCTCTTAACCACTGAGCCATCTCTCCAGCCCCCATAATTAATTCTTGCTTTAACTTTGGATAATAATTTCATAACTCCACTAATTCCTTCATCAGAATTCTACAAGTTCTGAGAGCAATGGTACAAGTACCAATGTGGTTATTATAAATAATCAGAAACCTGTTCTTGTCTAATCTTCTCCATGAACCTTTGTCATCACAGATGATTATATTTTACTCTGATGTGTTCCTGAAAGTTTCTGCAAACAATATAATACAAAAGTGCTTCAGCTTCAAAGAGGTTCATGGGAAAATGTGGTTAAGAGCTTGTTTTATTATGCAGTTATTCCTGTGGCAAAAAAAATTCAAAATTATGATTGCTAACACTATAGCAGATAGCAAAAACTATAAACAAATTTCTAAGAACTTGAAAAAAACTTCCAAAGTATTTTAACCAACAGAATATTTAGTATCACTTAATTGACGTTTTCCAGGTAACATACCACATAAATTAGTTTATTGCTTCCCTTTTCATAAGGCAAAGAGATAAAGAATTTTCAGGAAGAGTTGGGTGTTATAACATGCTACTTGGGAGGCTGATACAAGAGGGTCACTTAAATCCAGGAATTCAAAGCCAGCCAGGTCGACATAATGAGACTATGGTGGTTCGAATAGCTATGACCCCCCATAAACTCATGTGCTTAAATGCTCAGTTAATAGGGAGTGGCACTATTAGGAAGTATGGCCTTGTTGGAGTAGATGTGGCTTTGCTGAAAGAAGTGTCACTGTAGAGGCAGGCTTTGAAGTCTTATATGCTCAAACTAGTGTGACAGTCTCCTTGTGCGGCCTATGGATCATGATGTAGAACTCTCAGCTCCTTCTCCAGCACCATGTCTGCCTGCATGGTACAAAGTCCTGCCATGATGATAATACACTGAATCTTTGAAACTGTAAGCCAGCCCCAAATAAATGTTTTCCTTTATAAGAGCTGCCATGTCGCAGTGTCTCTTTACAGTAATAGAAACCATAAGACAGAGGGCCCATATAAAAAGGGTTCAAGCAGGGCATTGTTGGCACATGTCTTTAATCCCAGCACTTGGGAGGCAGAGGCAAGGAGATCTCTGTGAGCTCGAGGCCAGACTGGTCTACAAAGCAAGTTGCGGGACAGCTAAAGAGTGAAACCCTGTTTCAAAAAATAAACAAACAAGCAAACAAACAAATAGGGCTCAGAACATAAGAGGCTTACTCTTGCTCATTCTTGCTGTTCTGAGTGCATGCCCACACTCTCTGCCATCTGAGAATGAGGGGAAAGAAGCATCTGCAAGCCAGGAAGAGAACTGATACAGTGGCATAATCTTCTGGTGTCTTGGTTTTAGACTTCCCAGCCTCCATAACTGAAATAAACTTCTTTAAGCCAAAAGGGGTCGGGGAGGCTCAGGTGGTTGTCACGATGATTAAGTAGATAAAGATAGTTGCCATGAAAGCCTGGTGACCTGAGTTTGATACCAGAACCCATAGATAAAGGTAGAAGAAGACAAGAATCTACAAAGTTGTCTCAGACCTCTACACATATGCTACAGCATACAAGCCTCTCCCCACCCTACACATCAAGTATACAACATACAAATTTTTTTTATAAAGTCATAAAGGCTAGGGATAGATCAGTGCTAGAGCATTTGCTTGGCTCTAGCACTACAAAAGAAAAATTTCAAAGTGTTAGCCAAGTGATCCCAAAGTGAAGCTGAAATCAGAAAGTAGACTTTTATATAAAATTTATCTTGAGACATTTGTCAAAAATAAGGCAAGGTTTGAACATTAGACTACACAAGATCACATTAAACTAAAACAATCCCTATCTATTTAGCCTAGGGGATCAGGTACCCTCACAGAGACACATATGTAGGCAAAACACCAATGTACATAAAATAAAAACAAACCAACTGTCTATAAAGAGAGAGAGAGAGACCATGATCCAATCGAGTATACAATGGATGAAGAACGAATGTCTCTTCAAACCGTTATTTCACTGTATCTCCACATGATCTAGGGAACCACTCCTCCCATCCTGACAACAGTCAGTCAGTCTCCAGCTAAGCAATTTGTCTACTGTGACAAGTTATAAGGACAGGAGTAAATCTCAATCTGTGGTAAGAACCAGTTTTTACATTTTCCAACCTATTACAAATCCGTACTTTAATAAATGTGTTTAAATGTTTATCTACCATATATGTGTGCACAGATGTTGTGTGTGGGGGGGTAGCATACACATATGCCACATTCTTTTCGGGGACATGGTGGACAATGGCAGGGTCTCTCTACATAATCCTGACTGCCATGGAACACACTATGTAGAACAGACTGATGTGAAACTCATAGGGATCCTGCCTGCTTCTAGCTCCCCAGTGCTGGGATTAAAGGTGTGTGCTATCGTGTCTAGCAACTTGTCATGCACTTATGTGGAAGTCAGAGGGCAACCTGTAGGAGTCAGGTCTTTCATCATGTGGGTCCCGGAATCAAACTCAAGATTGAAGGCTTGAAGGCAGGCACCATTATCCATTGAACCATGTCACTGTCCCAAAACTAAGTCCTTTATAAATTACTACAAACTACAAAGATGTCATAATTATATCAAATTGTTGTACAAATTCCTACAAGTGTTCTCTTTATTTTTATCACTGACTTGTCATGAACTGATTCTATTGCATGCCCTTTGAGTAGCCGCTAGCCAAAGCGCTTAGAATATTGATTTTCCAACACTACAGTTTAAATTAATAACAATTCCCAGCTAACTCCCTTAACAAAGAAAAATCTCTAAACTAATAAAAAACAATTTTAGGGGCTGGAGATATGACTTAGCAGTTAAGAACTCTTATCATGCCAGGTGGTGGTAGCGCACATCTTTAATCCCAGCACTTGGCAGGGTGGATCTCTGAGTTCGGAGCCAGCCTGGTCTACAGAGTGAGTTCCAGGACAGCAGGACTGACCTCCTTGAACTCATACATGCATGTACGTGGTGCACTTACACATAAAATGATTTTTAAAAAATACATAGAAGATGCTGAAGAAATGGCTCAGTGGCTAAAATCACTGCTCTTTCAGAACCTGAGTTCAGTTCCCAGCACTCACAAGGCAGCTCACAACTGTCCGTAACATCAATTCCAGATGATCTGACACCTTCTTCTGGACTCCACAGGCACCAGAAGCATACATGGTACACAGATATACATGTAGGCAAAACACTACACATTTAAATTTTTACTTTAAAAATATGTGTGAAAAAAGTATAAAATACTATCTTTTTCTACTGTAATATTTAAATTGCTGAGCATTTTAGTAGTTTAAATACATTAAAATTAGTAACTCAAAATCGTAGAGCAACTTCACAAAGTAAAAGAACAAAATCCACTGCTACCCACCTTAACCAATCACAAGGTAAGAACTGGAGACACATGTTTCTGATAGTCCAGAAAGTAAAGTACACATTCGAGCCCAGGAGTGGTGCTAAGGATTCCTACTTGTGAGCACAGGCAGCATACGCTCGGGCATGCTCAGTGCCGGGTATCTTTAAATGACACCAGCACTGAAACAACTCAATATCAACACTTCTAGATCTCCTGCTTAAATTACATGCTTCTGAAAACACCTGGGTCACCGTCTTTCTTTACAGACAATGAAGAGCTACAGAGATGCTCAGTGATTAAGAACATTGTCTGCTCTGCCTGAAGACCCAGGTTCAATTCCTAGCACCCACATAGTGGTTCACAATCATCTGTAACTCCAGTTCCAGAGGATCTTATGACCTCTTCTGGCCTCTGTCTCCACCAAGCACACAAATGGTGTACTTTACATACAAAAAGCACTAATAATTAAAAGAGGAAAAAAAAATACTTACAGTTCCTTTAAGTGAGTTTGAGAAAAAGCATTTTCTTGGATAGACATTATAGCATTGTTGTTCAAATCTCTGAAATCAAGAGAAATGCAAAATCAGTAGCCATCTCTATAGTAAAGCTACATAAATGCTTTATTGTTCATGTACACCTCCCAGGGACAGCAAAAGTTGTTTTGTTTTGAGGCAATCTCAGTATGCAACCCTGTCTGGCTTTAAACTTGCTATGTAGACCAGGCTGACCTCAAACTCAGGAAAATTTGCCTGCCTCTGTCTCCTGAGGACTGAGATTAAAGGCAGGCACCACACCCAGCACAAAGATTCTGCAGTGAGCAAATATATATGAAATACTTACAAATACTCAAGGGATTCAAGACCAATGAATGCTTTCTGTGTAATTGACTTAATCTGGTTTCCTTGTAAGATTCTGAAATAAAATAAAATAAAATTAATTAAATATTTATCTATACAAAGTATACTAAGTTAAAAGTTTATAGTGTGGCTTAGTAACACATTTTAAAATTACTTTTAATTATGTGTCTATGTGTAGATGGTGGGGTAGAGGTATGTTCATGTGAGTGCTGTGTCTATGGAGGCCAGAAGAGGACATCAGACCCCTTCAAGTGGAAGTTACAGGTGGTTACGAGCTGAGAACCAAACTCAGGTCCTCTGAAAGAATAGAAAACATTCCTAACCTCTGAGCCATCTCTTTAGCCCCTTTAATGGCTTTATTGAGACATAACTGAGAGAAAAAAACTATACACACTGAATTGGGGCTTAATGAAAGCAAGCATTTATTTTAAAAAAAGTTATGAACTTACTAATTAATGCAAAGCGCAACATGAAAACTCTCGACATTTCAGAGCTCCTCTGAACAGTCATCCTATCCACTAAACTGCTGATACTTTGCCACTGCTACATGAGGTTAAATTCCCCACTTCTCTCCTTAATAAAAGATGGTCATATTAAAGACATTCAGACAAGTATAAATATTTGGAGAAAACCTTCTCAAAAAGATGTAAAATGCTTCATAGGAGAATATTTTCTCCTATTATTAGACATATTCCCCACATATCTCATGATTAAACATACTACTGCTCAACTACACTTTCTTAAAGCATTTATTGTCATATATCAATCTGTTGATTTCATTGGTTAAGCAATAAAGAAACTGCTTGGTCCTCATAGGTTAAAACATAGGTGGGAGGAGTAAACAGAACAGAAAGCTGGGAGAAAGAAGCTGAGTCAAGGAGTCACCATGATTCTCCCACTCCAAACAGACGCAGGTTAAGATCATTCCTGGTAAGCCAGCTCGTGGCCTACAGCAGATTATTAGAAATGGGCTAGTCCAGGTGCGAGAGCTAGCCTAGAAGAGGCTAGATAGAAATGGGCCAAGCGGTGTTTAAAAGAATACAGTTTCCGTGTAATTATTTCGGGTAAAGCTAGCCGTGGGGGCAGCCGGGTGCCGGGGACGCAGCCCGCTGCTCCTAACACAACAATTTATTTCTCTTACTTGAATGGAAAACTCTATTCTGTAACTTATTCAAATCCCACATGATTTAGAATGCAAACTTGTCACTATAGAAATCAAGTATGGCAGGAGGCTGGAGAGATGGCTCAGTGGTTAAGAGCACTGGCTGCTCTTCCAGAGGTCCTGAGTTCAATCCCCAGCAACCACATGGTGGCTCACAACCATCTATAATGAGATCTGGCTCCCTCTTCTGGCGTGTGGGCATACATGGAGGCAGAATGTTGTATACATAATAAATAAATAAATCTTTAAAAAAAAAAAAAAAAAGAAATCAGTATGGCAGTTCCTCCAAAAACTGAAAATAGAACTACCTTGACCTAGCTAAGCTACTGGTAAATATATACCTGAAGGACTCTGAGTCAATATGCCACAGCCTAGGTGTCCACTGAAACATGGATGGATGAAGGAAAGGTAGCACATATATACAACACAATTTTATGCAGCCATAAAGAAAAATGGAAGTTTTGAAATTTGTAGAAAAATGGATACAACCAAATGTTTTCTCTCATAAGCAGAGGCTAGACTTAGAATTATATACATGTGTGTAATAAATGTGTTTGTAGGTCATAAAACTGAAAAAGGTATCACGAGAGGGTTGGAAGAGATCTTAAGGAGGGTGGGAAATACTGCATGGTACATAAGTCCTAAGAAAGCAGAAGGAACTACCTGGATGTAAAAATGAATCACCCAAGCAGAGAGGAAGTGGGAAGAGGACAGTAGGGGAGGGGAATGAATGAGAACAAGGAATAATAAAACATATGGATGGATAACATTCTATGATAAAACCTATCTCTTACAATGCTAACCTGAAACTAAGAAATAAAAAAATACATTTCCATAGGAATACTTTATAAATAAAAAGCACCTGAACAATAACAAACTATTTGACAAACAAACAAAGCTCCTTCCTTTAGGAGATGATAGAAAGCCTCAGACTTTCTAGCCATATAAAAAACACATTATCCAATAACATTTAGAATTGCTCCTTGAAAAGACCTTATATACACAAACACCACAGATACATACAATTTAGTGAGACTTTTGAGTCCAGCAAAGGCTTCACTAGCATCTTCTATGGCCCATGAAATTTCATTGTTTCTCAAATCTCTGAAAGTGTCAAGGAGAAAAAAGTTGTTAATCAATATGACTACCATAAACTAGGCAAGATCATGGTATGGCAGCATAAAAGGATACATGCTAATTTTGACCCTTGTTTTAACAATTATTACAGTGAAAACTCAGTCCTACTTTTTAAAGGATTATTTTTGATAAACACAGAAGAACTAATAAATTAAGCAGGCGTGTTAGCACATGCCCTTAGTCCAGCACTCAGGAAGCAGGCAGGAGGATCTCTGTGAGTTCAAGGCAGCCTGACCTACATAATGAGTTCCGGGATAGCCAGAACTTCAGAGAGAAACGCTGTCTCAAAAATAAAAACAAACAAATAAGCAAGCAAGCCAACCAACCTGCTAAGGTTACTAATCTTTCTAGTTAACCACGTCTAATTGTACTAGCCTATTAAAAATTGTAGACAGGATCCTACATAAAGAAGGGTTTCAAGATAAAGAAGATAGATAACAGCTTACAAATGTAATTTTAGATTAATGGGATTTCTGGGTGTTTCAAGCCTTCCTCTGGGCCCTTAACCTTAAAATAGCTCAAAAAGTAATACCAACACAAAGCTTCACAGCTCAAGAGCAATCTAACATTCCCCTTGGGAATCAAAAAATGGTATGCCCATGTGCTAGAGTAGTCACTGTGTTTTCTTGAAAACTATGGTCTTTTAAAATCCACCATTCCATTCTCAGAGGAAGTACAATTGTATATATCATGTGCTGATAAAATATCAGTTATATTAAAAATATTCAATCACAAAAAATTTAATCAGTTTGCTTCCTAAAGCCATCTTACACTAAACTAAGACACATGCTTTCTGATTTATAAGATTACATAAAGAGGCTTCTTTTTTTTTCCAGACAGGAGACAGGGTTTCTCTGTGTCACAGCCCTAGCTGTCCTGGAACTAGCTCTTGTAGATGAGGTTGGCCTCGAACTCACAGAGATCCACCTCCCGAATGCTGAGATTAAAGGTGTGCGCCATCACCGCTCAGCTGAGAGATTTCTTCTTACTTAGCCCTCTTCAAGCAAAAACGCTAATATAGCTCATAATTAGTAAGGTATGGTGGCACATACCTTTAATTTCAGCACTCCAGAGGCAGAACTCTCTGAGTTTAAGGCCAATTTGGTCTACATATACAGGTATGTTTTTGTATATGTGTATGTGTGTGTAGGTTTGAATGAGAAATGGCCCCCTTAGGCTCCTACAGTTGAGTGCTTGATCCTCAGTTAGTGGAACTATTTGGGAAGGATTAGGGGGTGTGGCTTTGTTTGAGGAGGTATCACTGGGAATGGACTTTAAAATTTCAAAACCAGGTCAGGTCCAGTCTCATTCACTTTATCTCCATTTTGTAGATCAGATGTAAGCTCTCCATTACTGCTCCAGTGCCCTGCCTGCCTGCCTGCCGTTACATGTTCCCCACCATGATAGTTATGGACTTACCCTCTGAAACTGTAAGAAAGTCCCCCAATTAAATGTTTCCTTTTATAAGTTGCCTTGGTCATAGTGTTTCTTTCCTTTTTTTTAAGATTTTTATTTATTATTATGTATATAGTGTTCTGCCTGCATGCCAGAAGAGGGCACCAGATCCCATTATAGATGGTTGTGAGCCACCATGTAGTTGCTGGGAATTGAACTCATGACCTCTGGGAGAGTACACAGTGCTCTTAACCTCTGAGCCAGCACTCCAGCGCGGTCATAGTGTTTCAACACAGCAGTAGAACTAAGACAGGAGTCGGTATCAAGAACTGGGGTACTGGTGTGACAGGCCTAACCATACTGTTATTTAAAGAGATATGGTAGACTTGGGACTTTGGATGAACAAAGCAGTTGAATGTTATAGTAGGGCTTAACTGGGCCACCCTAGTAGGAGCATGGAAGACTAAAGTACTGAGGGCAATGTGTCCTATGAAGACCCGGTTCAGAAGGTTTCAGAAGAGAAGAATATTAGAGACCATTCTTGTGATGTGTTGGCAAAGAATGTGGCTGCTTTCTGCCCTTTGTCCAAAAAAATCTGTCAAAGACTAAATTGAAGAGGTTTGGACTAATGTCACTGGTAGAGACTTCAAAGCAGCCTAGCACTAACTGTGTTATGTGGTTATCAGTGATCACTATCACACAGATCTACAATGAAAAGGAGCCAATAATGCAAAAAGAAATAGAAAATAAAATATAGAGTTGGGGTGGGGAGTACACTGGAGTGTATGTAACACTGGAGCCAAGCAAGCCCACAAAGATGAGAAGTTTAAAGAAAGGTCTGATGCTAAATGGAATAAAAGGAATGGTACCTCAGGGCAAAAACCAACTCAGCTAATCCTACAACTTATAAAAAGGAAAGTTTATGTCGCAAAGGAAATCACCAAGTCAAAGGTTATGCAAATGTAACTCATGGAAGAGACCATGTTTTAGCCCACGCAGTGGAACTTCACACTCTGGCCACACTGCTCTGGGTTTGATCAAGGATACAGGAAAGGAATTGTAGAATATCCCTCAGCAATTAGGGAAAGTCGCTTAGGCAAGGTGTGTGGCAGGGGAGTCCCTTCATGGTGGCCCAAAGAGGCAATTTCATGAAGCCATTAAGGTGAAACCTGGGTAATTACATTGGAGATCCCAAGATGATGGCGATGCCAGAACTATAGACACCTGTCAAGAGCTATAGACAGGTGTAGAACCCGCCAGAGAAACGTGCTGCAGTCAACAAAGCTGGAAAAGTGGGATATAAAAAACCATCTACACTGGGCATAGAGATACAGAATTTGGAATTTGCCCTGCTGGGTTTCGGTCCTGTTTTGGTCTAGTGTTTCCTATGCCCTTTTCTCTCTTTTGGAACGGTAATGTACATTCTGTACCATTGTATGTTGGAAATATTTGATTTTTGATTGTACAGGGAATTATAATTAGAAGACTGCCTTGAGTCTCAGATGAGACTCTGGACTTTTTAAATAGTGTTGAGACAATGAAAGACTACGAGGGCTTCTGAAGTTGAACTAAATGCATTTTTCATCATGATATTGCTAACAACTGTATAGGGCCAGGGAGTGGAATGTGGTGGTTTGAATGAGAACAGCCCCCATAGGTTCCTATGTTTGAATGTTTGATCTCCAGTTAGAACTGTTTGAGAAGGACTGGGTTATGTATGTCCCTGCTGGAGGAAGTGTGTCCTTACTGGAAGGGGTGTGTGGCTTTGTTAAAGGAGGTATGTCACCAGGGTTTTTGGTTTTGAGGTTTCAAAAGCCCACACAGACCCAGTCTTTCTGTCTTCTATCTGGGGATCAAGATATGAGCTCTCAGCCACTGCTCCGGTGCCATGCCTGCCTATTGCCACACTTCCTGCCACACTCCCTGCTATGCAAGAAAAGCCCCAATTAAATGCTTTTTCCTAAGAGTTGCCTTGGTCATAGTGTCTCTTCACAGCAATAGAACTAAGTAACTAAGTATAATAGTAACTAGACAGTGTGCATCATAAATATGAGAGTATTTTCTTATATTTTTTATGTCTCCTTCTCATTGGTGGTTAGGTCCCAAAATTTGGAGCCTATCTCTTTCCTGAAACCATTTATTAATTTTGAATGTAATAATCACCAAGTATTCTAATCAAGAGCCATTAAGAATTTAAATTATGAGAAAGGGGCCCCTAAGAAAGACAAAAGACATTCTTAGGGGGAAAGGATAGAACCCAGGAGATAGAAAAGTAGGAAGAGGAAAAACAAAGTAGAAATGTTTACATGAGAAAGGAAGCAGGGGAGCAGGAGAGGATGAGTAGAATAGGGAAAGGAAAGGGTAGGAAAGAGTCAATTAAATCTATGGATATGGTTTTAACTAAACACACCAAGGCTGAGGGAGTCTCATGGAAGAGGGAGTGCAGATGCAAGGGCAGGAAGAAGGGGGTGGAATGCTGTGGAACACTGTCCTCCGGGCATGACACAGCAGAACAATCTTACTCTCAGAAGTGGTGCTCACCCACATAAAATGAGGCCCATCCTGGAGAAAACCAGCTGTCAGAGGGTTATCACTGTCCCAAAACTCACCCCCACACACCCAACCCTTGGTCTCCTGAGCAGGTTTTCCCCATCCCCTTCTACAGTGCCTGGTAGATAAGTGCTTCTCAAGAACACAAACCTCTTGTAAGACTTGTCCTGTACTCTGGCATTACACAAGTGCTACTAGTGCAATAAAGTGAAGGCTGGCTGCCCAGATACATAATTCATCTAAGAAAATAAATTTCATAAAGAAAAAAAGATGAGGTCTCACAGGCACTGCTACCTGAGCCAGATTTCTGTAAGCAATGAAATTCATCAATGGTCCTGCTCCACTGAACAAAGTCAATAATCAATCGAGAGCAACAGCAGCACATGGACGCGCACTTCTCTCTCTCTCTCTCTCTCTCTCTCTCTCTCTCTCACACACACACACACACACACACACACACCATTTAGCCAAGCACGATAGGACATGCCTATAATCCCTGTACCTGGAAGGCAGAGCTAAGCTACACACTGAGATGACGTTAGTTTCTTTTACGCAAAGCATGAAGATGTAGCTCAGCAGTAAAGTGCTGGCCTAGCACGCTCAAGTTTTACACCATAGCACTGCCCCCAAAGAACCAAAAATCACACACACAAACTACCACAGCGAGCAGACTGCTACCACTATCCACCTACATCCTTCCAGACAAGGCTGGAGTTCTGTACACTACCCACCAAGAGAACAAGCAATGACTGCATTCTAACACTGCCAACTGGCATGGAAAGGCTTTGATGTTATGAGATTAACTCAGAATTAAAGTGTAAGCTGCAGTAAAATTTATTTATGGGACAGAGAACAAAAGAAGCTCAAAATACTAGCATATATCCATTTTCATACTGATTATTTTCATTCATTTGCTTAGTTTCAATCTAAAACAGATTTTAAAAAACAAAACAAAAACTTACAATGTTTGAAGATTGGAAAGAAACCTAAATACACCATCAGCAATATGAGTGACTCTATTGTCACCTAAATTCAATCTCTCCAGTAAACTCAAACCCACAAAGGCAGATTCATCAAGGCGGGTCAGTTGGTTATAGGACAAATCCCTAAAAAACAAAAAACATTGAATGTCAAAAATTATTGTATTTAGCCCAACCTACAAATTTTACTCCATTGACATGCTAAGTTTAGGGTTTCTAACAAAGACTGAGTAAATACGGATGCTAGCTCTCATGACTACCATGAGCTAAGTAATTTACTCCAATCTGCTCTAGTCTCACACCCTCCCACCAAACACCACTCAACACTTACAGTTCAGATAGTCTCTGGCAGAACTCCCATGCGTCGGGGCTGATTCTTTCAATAGCATTCTGGCTCATATACAGTTGCTGTAACATTCGCAAGCCATATAGCCACCCCTTGCTCACTCCTGTAAGGTTATTATGTTCCAGTTCTCTGTTCAATTATAGAGAGAAGTGAGTAACTCAAAACAAGACGTTCAATACCAAGATTTTAAATCTCCCTTAAATGCTTTGACAAACAGACACCTTTGCTGAACTCTAGTGACCCAAGAAACTTAAGATCTAGCCCTAAAGGGACTAAGTATCTATAAAACAAACACACCAAGTGGTATTGGATTTCTGATTCAGATAAATTCTGGTGAGTCAAAACAATGTAATTTATATTGAAAAACTTAACAAAATTACCAGTTAAATAAAAAAAAAAACTTAAAAGTCTCTATGAAAGCATGGGTGAGGCCATGCTTCAGTCTTGGAGGGGAGGAGGGAGGGGAAGAAAGTGAAGGTTTTAGCATGTTACCTCACATCAGAAAAACCATGTATCTCTGTTAACTAAGCAACTACACTAGCTATTTACACTAGCTATTAAAAGCCCAGCAAGAGTTCTCCCAACTCTCCCCATCCCAGTACTTACAACTCTTCCATATTATTCAAGCCAAAAAATGCTCCATCTTTGAGTATGCTAATTCCATTTCGCTGCATTTTCAATGAGCGTAAAGAATCAAGACCTTGGAAGGTGAGGCCTTCTACAGTTTTAATCCTGTTTCTTTTCAGCTCCCTTGAACAGAATATTTCAGTTAGAAAACTGGCTGAGTTACTCTAACAGTAATTTAAATAGAAAAACAGCTGTAGAGGAAAACTTGTCTCTTACAATCCATAATTTTGATACTCACAAGAATTGGAGATGAGGCAGCTTGAAGACTTTAGGTGGAATCATGCTAATTCGGTTACGATTTAATTTTACCACTAATAAAGAACCCGATAAGTTGTCAAAGCAACCGGCCTCCAAGGTGGTTATCCTATTATTACTCAAATTCCTAAAATGACAAGGTAGAAGCAAAAGAAAAGAAACAGTGATAACTAACCAAAGTCTGTAACTCTGGCTCCAATTCCATCACTTAACTATACACATTTTGTCAAATCATTTAATTGCTATCCCCACAGCCCCCCAAATCATGCTTTTTTTTTATGTCAGAAAAGTCATGTGCCAAGGTTGTAAGGAAGTCATGGGACACACACACCATGCAAAGGTATGAACACCAAGCATCGTGCTTTTTGTGTGTGTATTCATGTGTATATGTTGTCCAGGTGAATGTGCATAATGTGGGGGGAGGGGTTTAGAGGCAAGAGCAGTATGGGGGAAGAGAGGACTACCTCTACCATTCTCTGACTTTAATACCTCAAGACAGGGTCTTTCCTGAAACCAGAAGCTCAGTCACTCATGGAACCAGGAGTCCATCATTTTGGCTAGACAGGCTGGCTGGCCATCGAACTCTCACTACCCCCATGCTGGAGTTATAGACACACACAGCCATGTCCCTATTTTCATATGGGTGTTTGGGATTTGAACTCAGGACCTTGTGTTTGCAGAACCAAGCATCTGTACCCACTGAGCAATTTCCTCAGCCCCTAACTATTATTTTAGTCACAAATTACTTAATTGTTTTCTCCCTACATCTACAAAATTAATTCTGTTAGGGCTGAAGGTACAGCTCAGAGATGGAGTGCATATGGCAAGGTCCTGGGGGTTTGAGCCCTGATATTGATAAACATGGGGAAGGTGAGACATGGTGGTATATACCCTTAATCCCAGCACTTATAAGACAGAGGCAGATGGGTCTCTATAAGTTTAAGGCCAGCCTGATCTACCTGATAAGTCCCAGGCCAGCCAGGAAAACAATGTGAAACCCTGTCTCAAAACAAATGGGGGAAAAGTAAAGGTCTACTTCATTTAGGATGTTACAAGGTAGTGTGAATGAGCATGCTTTAGAAACTGGCATGCAAGCTAACTAACATCATTACACAGGATAAGCTACTATTTAACAAACAATAACAAAGCATTCCTAGTTTACTTTTTACAAAACTGCTGATTAGGACTGGAGGTATAACTCATGGGACAGCAACTGCCTAGTGTGACAAGATACTGATTTGGTTCCCAGTACCAAAATGAAAAACTCTCAAACTAAATCTTGTGCTGACAAGATGGCCTAGCATATAAAAACACTTGCCAAACAAGCCTAACAACCTGAGTTCCATCTCCGGGAAACAAATAAAGATGGAAGAAAAAATTGAGCACTATTAGCGCACACCTTTAATCCCAGCACTATGGAGGCAGAGGCAGGGGGATCTCTTCAGTTCAAGGGCAGACTGGTCTACAGAGCCAGTTCCAGGACAGTAGGGATATACAGAGAAACCCTGTCTCAAAAAACCAAAAGAAAGAAAAAAAAAGCAAGCAAAGGAAGGAAGAAGGCAGGCAGGAGGGAGGGCGAGCGGGAGGGAGGGAGGGAGGAGAGAGACAGAGGTGGAAGACAGAAAACAGTTGCACAGAGTTGTCCTCTGACCTTCACACTCTCACTGTAAGATATTACATCACCCCATGTACAATAACAAACAAATCAATGTTACAAATTCTAAACTTTGCTCTCAATGCCTAGTAATTTTTTTTCTGGCAAAAGAGTACTCTTTCTTTTCGGGTGAAGTAGAAGAATAAATAACTCCAAAAGCCCAAAACTAAGCTTATTTTACACATGAATATCAAAATTAAATAAACAGCAGACATTTGAGGGAATGTGGTAAACCAAAGAATTACAGAAATGCACTTTAAAGAGGATCCAGAAAGCAGGCAGTGCCCAGCCCACTGTTCCCTTGCAGTTTACTCAATAAATTATCCTTCTAATCAATTCAGTAACTCTAGGTCTCTATTTTACTTACAGGTATTTCAGCGACATTTGAGGGAATGAAGACGTCTTGATTTCTGTTATTATATTGGAACTGAGGTCTAAACTCTCGAGAGCAGAGTAAAGCTGAAGTGCTTCTGCATTTATTTCCGGTATTAAATTATGGACTCTATAAAACAAGGATTACACTGAAGTTATTGCCAATGACCCATTTCAGGCCACAAGGAAACTAAACAATTAGAAGAAAACATATGGACTTTTTAAAAACAAATAACAGGTACTGTTATATTCCAGTGACAGCAGATTGATAGGAGGTGTTGGTTCTCCAAAACACATACACACACCAACATACAATTCATAATTTAAAAAATATGAAGTTTTAACTTACAGTGAAAGCAGAGTAATATTAGGTGTTGGTTCTCCAAAGTATGGGATCTCTGTTAGTTCATTGTAATTCATTTTCCTAAGCAAAAGAGAAAACAGTTTTGAAATTTTAATGGTAGAAATTACCTCCTGAATTCTGGTTTTTTTTTTTTTTTTGCTAATATGTTAGTGTATCCAAATTCGGAAAAGTCTATGATGCAGAGTAAGTTAGACTAATATAAAATGTGGTTTTGGAGAAATTAGAACTTTTCTTCTTTTATGTAAGATTTTTATTATTTCTAATGACATGAGAAGAAGAGGGTTGTACACATTAAGTGCAGTGCATCCCCTGAAGCTTAAGTTACAGGTGGTAGTAAGTCACCCAATATGAATGATGGGAATCAAAGTCAGGTCCTCTACTAACCTGAGCCATCTCCCCATCTCTGAGAACTTAGAAATTTTAATGTGTTACTCCATAGTAAATGGCTTACCATTAAAATCAGTATTAAATGCTAGATGTGTTTTTAGCACACCTGTAACGCCATTACTTGGGAAAAACAGAAAAGAGAATGTAAGTTCAAAGTCAGCCTGGATCATAACAAAAAGACCCTGTCTCAAAAAGCAATAGCAACAACAACTACAAAAATCAGTATTACAAAGGCTTGTTCCAGATATGACGATGACACACGCCAGAAATCCTAGACCTTAGAAGATGGATGTAGAGGATGCATACGTCCAAGGCCAGCCCACACAGTACATTCTAGTCCAGTCTAAGCTATGTAGTAAGATTTCATCTTTTTAAGAAGGGGGGTTGAAAGGCCAAAGAGTTATGGTTTCATTGTTAAGAACATTGGATGTTCTACCAGAAATCCCAGGTTTGATTCCAGCACCCATATGACAGCTCACAACTGCCCTGAACTCCAGTTCCAGGGTATCTGACTTCCTGTTCTGGCCTCTGTGGACCCTGCATGCATGAGGTGCACAAATACCCATTCACATAAAATAATAAAAACATTGTTTTTTTTTAAGGGAGTTAAGAAGTGCTGTAATTATATTTTAATTTTAAAAATGTTTAAAAAGGGGGGCTGGAGAAATGGCTCAGAGGTCAAGAGTACTGGCTGCTGGCTGCTCTTCTAGAAGTCCTGATTCAATTTCTAACAACCACACGATGGCTCACAACCATCTAGAATGAGATCTGGTGCCCTCTTCTGGCAAGCAGGCACACATGCAGAAAGAATACTGTATACTTAATAAATAAACAAATGAATCTTTAAAAACATGTTTAAAAAGGAGGAGGGTGGAGATATAGCTCAGTGATAGGAGAGTAGCATGGCTGCGAGCTGCCTCACATGCTGTTGGGAATGGAACTCAGTCCTCTGGAAGAACAGCAAGTAGTCTTAACCACTGAGCCATCACTCCAGCCCTTCTTTCAATTTTTTTCACGCATCTCTAGATTAAATATTCCCACATTCAGACTGGAGAAATGGTTCAGGCAGCAAAGTGCTTGCTATCCAAACATAAGGATCAAATTTAGATCCCTAGCACCAATGTAAAGCTGAATAGAGTAGTACACATCTGTACACCCAGTATGGAGGTGGAGGAAGTAGAAATCCCTGGTATGAATGACCAGCCAATCTAGCTGAGTCAGCGAGGTCCAGGTCGAGAGCTGCTGTTTCAAAAACTAAGGTAGAATGAGGCCGAGAACCTGAGGCTTGACAGGTCATAGGCCCTAGAGGGAAATCTACTACTATTCTGTTAAATGAACACATCAATAAAACGACTCTTAATGACATACTGCTATACCCAAAGATTAATGTATCTCTCAACCCTTATCAGAGAAGCTTCTTCTCCTTGAAGCAGGTGGTAATCAATGTGCAGAGAGTAAGAAACTTTGGAATGCTCAGCCCTAAATGGGATATCTGTCTCATACCCCTCCCATCAAGGTTCAGGGATGCATGAAAAAGAGGGGGCAGAAAGACCCTAAGAGTCAGAGGTGGCAGGTGACCTCAGGAAAACAGCTGTCTTCTAACACAAAACAGGGCAAATGTACACACGAACTCACAAAGACAACAGCATGCACAAGACCTGCACAAGCTCAAACCAAACAAAACCCCCTGGGAACGTGAACACAAAGTCCCATTCCAAGATAAAAAGCTGTTTACAATTGGTAACTGCTGGGAGAGAAAATCAGTTTGTTTTCAGTGGAGTGATATTGAGTACATCAACCACATCAAGGAAGGCTCCATGTTCAGAAATAGCTAGCCAACACAAATTACCATGTTTGTTTAGAGATTTTATTTGCTTGCTTATTTGTTTGCTTAGTCTTTGTTTTTTTTTTTTTTTTTTTTTTTTTGGTTTTTCAAGACAGGGTTTCTCTGTAGCTTTGGTGCCTGTCCCGGAACTAGCTCTTGTAGACCAGGCTGGCCTCGAACTCACAGAGATCCGCCTGCCTCTGCCTCCCGAGTGCTGGGATTAAAGGCGTGCTCCACCACCGCCCAGCTTAGTCTTTGTTTTTTAAGAGAGAGAAAGAGTACTGATTAGGTGCAGAAGCAAGTGGATTCTGTGAATTCAAAGCCAGACTGATCTACAAGCTGAGTTCCAGCACTCAGGAGATAGAAGCAAGGGGTGGGGAGGATCTCTGAGTTCAAGGCCAGCCTGAGCTACAGTGTAAATTCCAGGACAGTCAGGGCTACACAGAAAAGCCCTGTTTTCAAAAGAAGAACAAAGTCAAAAACAAGAAAGAGAGAGAAAAAAACATGAAGTTGGGTGGGGAGATGTGTGAGGATCTGGGAGGACTTGGAGGAAGGGAAAGAATATGGCCAACGTAATTCATTCTCTTCTCTCTTCTCTCTCTCTTCTCCTCTTCTCTTCTCTCTCTTCTCTCTCTCTCTCTCTCTCTCTCTCTACCTCTCTGTTCTTCTCCCCTTCTCTCTTTCCCCTCCATAACCCACTAAATAAATATCCAACTTCACTCTGCATGGTGTGCCTATCCATGTCTTTGTCTCTCGCCTACCACCACGTGGGCTCCCTGCCTGGGACCAGCGGCCTGGTCTCATGGTGTGCCCATCTATCTTGTCTCTCCTTGTGGCCTGCTGCAGCCACTCAGGGAACTGCACCGTCCCTGCCTGGGACTGGCTGCTCTCAGGACCACTGCCTGCCGCCATATGGCCTGCTGCCACTGCTTGGAGACCTGCAGCATTTTTGCTGATGCAACTGCCAGGGATCCTGCAGCATTTTTATTTAATCCATTATAGTCAAAATATATAAAATTCTCAAAGGATAAATAAAAACATTATTTTAAATAAAAAGGTAGGCAAGCAATTCAGGAAGACACCTAATGTTCATCTCTGGACTCCACAAGCACGTCTAAGAGCACAGGCAAAACACAAACATACACCAAAAAATACTCAAATTCATAATTGGGTTATTTCAAAGATCATAATAGTAAATAAATAAAAATAACTTACACTTCTTGTAATGTTTGTGATTCCAAGCTGATGTTCCAGTTAGACAACCGGTTATGACTCAAATCCCTGAAAAAGACAAATATACATAGCTTAGTGGTGGAAGCTGAACCTCACATAAAAATAAAACAAAGCCGGGCGGTGGTGGCGCACGCCTTTAATCCCAGCACTCGGGAGGCAGAGGCAGGCGGATCTCTGTGAGTTCGAGACCAGCCTGGTCTACAAGAGCTAGTTCTAGGACAGGCTCCAAAACCACAAAGAAACCCTGTCTCAAAAAACCAAAAAATAAATAAAAAAATAAAACAAAATGTGAGCTATATAGATATATCAGTGTTAGAGAGACCAAGATCCAGGCACTCCCTAATGTGTTCAAGGAAGGGAGGAAGTACAAAACTAAAATGGAAATACTGGAAGTCCTACTAAAGGTAAATTTTTAAAGATTCATTTTAGCCAGGTGTACATGCCTTTAATCCCAGCACTCAGGAGGCAGACTACTCAGGCAGAGGCAGAAGTTTTAGGCCAGACTGAAGGTAGGGTTATAGGCACTTAATATGGTCCTTTGCAAGATTCCTCTCTTCAAGAGTAGTATGTGTCCTTAACCTCTGAGCTACCTCACCAGCCCCTAAGTGTGAATACAGGGCATGGCACTGAATTGTCTGTAATTCTCAGCACTAAGAAGGTAGAAGTAGGAGGGTCAGCCAATGTGAGGTTTGCCTGGTATCACAGTAAACTCTAGGACAGTCAGAATTACATAGTAGTCTCAAAAAGAAAAAAAAAAGTGCATTGAATTTCATCATTACCAAAATAAATGCTTATGAATAAGTCCATCCAAATTTCAAAACAGATTTAATACTTTTCAATTTTCAATGTGTTTGTAGTAATTTAGAATATATTAATATGGTTCCATAATAAAAGCAAAAGCCAACTATGGTGATCCATACCCACAATCTCAGCACTTGGAAAGCTGAGGTAGGAGGAACATAAACCTCAATCCAACCTGGGCTGTACAACAAAAATTTTGACTCAAAAACAAACAAGCTGGGTGTGGTAGTGCACTTGGAAGGCAAAAGTAGACAGATTTCTGTATCTCTGTGAGTTCCAGACTATAAGGCTACATAGTGAGAAACTGGGACCCTGTCCCCACCCCACCCCCAAAAAAGTTAAGTATAAAAGAATAGAAAGTCTTCAATCCTTGTCACCAGCTTCCTAACAGTTTGTCTTTTTCCAATAGCAACAAATGAAACTACTGTGTGATTGCAGTCCTCCAAATGTTTTATGCATACACAGATGATAATGAACGTTTGGTTCACTGGACCACATTGGACATTTGGTCCCTTGCTTTCTTCACTTAACAATGAGTTTCTTTATCTCTTGTAGTGATTATATAATGCCAGATTAGCTGTAAACCAATCTGAAGGTAGAAGTCACAAGTCAAAATGAGTGTTTCTATACTAAAACTTGAACTGAGCTGCATATGCAATGGTGATACACAAAGGCTAACACTAGCATGTAAGGCTAACCTGTGCTCATAGCAAGACCCAATCTCAAAAAGCAAGCAAACAAAACTAATTGCATCCTTCAGGGAATTGGGTTTTCTTAAAAGGAGCTATTCAGCTTCTGGAAAAGGTAATGAATCTCATTCAAATTATGTTGATGATGGTGACAGTTTTAGCTTAATATTTATTAAGTGGTGGACAGTCTTCTGTGTTCAACTAGCTAAATTAGCACAAAACTACAAGACAAATATATTTACAATCCTCACATTTGCCAAGCATGCAAACTAATAGCTTGTCAACCCAAAGTTACACAACTAAAAGTAGAGAAGCTATTTATTCAAAATTTCTTTCCATCTCAGACAAGTAGTTAGAGTAGAAATTTCACTAAAGTTCATCCTGAGCTTAAACTTTTGAACAGTCCTTTTAAAATTCACGTGGATGATTCCTGTCTTTACAATGTTACAGTGGATAGAATGTAGTCCACACGAGCTGTTTGCCCAAGAGACTTACTATATGTCTAGCAATAGGGACACACTGGAGAAACACTACAGATCAATTTATCTCACTGTGCCGCAACAGGCAGTTGGCAAGTGCATGCGGGTTTGAATGATGTCTCTATCACAGCAGAGCAGTTTTTGAGCTAGATTCAAGCCTGCATATCTTGGCCACTTTCATTTAAGAGTGTAACTTATTTACACTCTAAGCATCGTTATTATTTTTCAATTGATGGTACCGACATCAAACTATATTTCTAATTTTAACAATTTATTTTCATTTTGTGTGCATTGGTGTTTTGCCTGCATGTATATCTGTGTGATAGTGCCTGATCCCCTAAAACTGGAGTCAGAAAGTTGTGAGCCATCATGTGGTTGCTGGGAATTGAACTCAGAACCTTTGGAAGAGCAGCCAGTGCTCTTAACCTCTGAGCCATCTCTCCAGTAGGAAGGAGAGCAATCAAGAGTTAGACTACCAACAACCTGGGAAGATGACTCATTAGAAAAGATGCTTGCCATGCAAGCATAAAGAACAGGATTTGGATCCCCAATACCCACACAAATGCCATGTAGGCCCAGAAGCCCACCTATAATTCCAGCACTCAAAAGGCAGAGACAAGATCCCAAGAACAACCTGGCTAGCTGAGTTCTGAGTTCAGTTGAGGGACACCTGCTCAAAGAAACACTCCCAATACCAACCTTGGGCCTCCTCAATCATGTGCACCAACACTTGCACAGATACATATGTTCACACATATGCAAACATACACATAATAAGAAAATAACTACCAGGAGGAGTAAGGGTTTGGTAAGGCATCCCCGACACTGCTATGATTATAATGAAAGCTCCATCTGTTCCCTTCAACTACCCCCAAAATGTACTTAACAATCAGTAACCTTTCCTGTATTTATAGTGTAAACATCTCAGTGAAGGCTTTATGGCTCCGAGTTGTAGATTCCCCTCCCACTCATGCTACGGGGAAGCAGCATGAATTATTAAAGTGCTCGGTATCATCCAAAGCCTGAGGTGCCATTACTGTGGTTGTGCAGTGCTCTCAGGCTGTAAATTATTTACAGAATGCCCAGAGAAGTCACAAGCTCTGCAAGGCACTACAAAGAATTTCTGTAGCCACAAAGATACAGGAGTTTTCTTCTGCTCAGTCAGGTATGTCCACTTCTGTGTCAATAATCTTTTTGTTTTCAAGAATCATTGGACTTAGCCAGGAGCAGAGGCAAGCAGATCTCTATGAGTTAGAGACAAGCCTGGTCTACAGAGTGAGTTCCAAACAGCCAGGGCTACACCGAGAAATTTGTCTCATTAAACCAAATAAATAAATAAAATATTAAAGCCATATCTATATATTGATTCTGAACTCTGACTCTATAAAAAAGATAGCAGTAAAAAGATAGCCCATCAAAGACTTTGTCAATATATTAGGGTACACACCAATATCATATTCCCATTAACACCATTTCTAAGAATCTATTATACATATACAATCATACAATCTTGGAAAACTATCTACCAAGAAGTTATTGTATTAAAAAAATCGTAAACGAAACCTACATGCTATCAAGATGAGAGAAGTTAAATAACTTACGAAAATTCCATCCTACAGAGTTCTCTGGAGCCAGTTAAAATATACAACACATATTTATATAAACTACACAGTGGCTTCATTTATGTTTCAAAAGGAAAAAAGATCCATCTGTAAAACGTCTACTCAACAAATAACAGTGTTTTTTCTTAACTGTGACTAAAGAACTTTTACTTTCCCACTTCAAATGTCTCCATGAAAAAAACCTGCTTAAAAACAAACTCATCCTAAGTGGTCAAAGGCCTAAGTAACTGAGTGCTCAGCTGCAGAGAGCCATCCATCAACCTCCCCACTCCCACACAGCTCTCCAAGGCTCAGAGAGCATCTCCAAGGAGAGCTAGTGGACAGAGAGGAGAACTATGAAAAGCTAACTTCCAGACATGGTATGGCTATTGCACTCACTAACTTGCAACTGCTGTGCTATCTGCACAAAATCTTACCAGCCAAAATTCCAGCACGAATGCGGAGGAGCACCCCCAACATCATGCCCAACCTCAGCAAAGGAGCTACTGACAACCTATGACTGAAGGAGGGAGAGTCACTCACAAACACACATAATTTAAAACAATAAAATACATCTTTTAAAAAATAACAGGCTAGGTGTAGTGATACACACCTGCAGTCCCAGCACTCTGAGACAAAGGCAGGAAGACTGTAAATTGGACAACATATAGTAAGATTGTATCTCAAAACAAAACAAAAATCAAAAGGAGAGACAACAAAACAGTCTAAAAATAATGGGACAATGCTGTTGATTATATCCTATACTACACATATAATATATATAATATTCTATACTATACATTTTCCATTATTTGTGAGCATTTCTGAGAATCAACTGAGTTCATGTCTTTTTCGGAGACTATTATTATGAAGTCAAAACTTTTAAATGTGAAATAGACATTAAAAACAAGCTATTTCCAGGCAGTGGAGGTGCACGCCTTTAATCTCAGCACTCAGGAGGCAGAGACAGGTGGATCTTTGAGTTAGAAGCCAGCCTGGTCTACAAAGTAAGTTCCAAGACAGACAGAGACAGAGAAACCCTGTCTCAAAAAGCAAAACAAAAGCTATCTTACCACTTAAAAGTCTTCGTTTAAGGGCTGGTGAGATGGCTCAGTGGGTAAAGGCACTTGCTGCACAAGCCGGACAACCTAAATTCTAAGTTGATCCCTGGAACCCAAGGTAAAGGAAAGAACAGATTCCACAAAGCTGTTCTCTGACCTCCACACTCATGTACCACACAGACGCACATCAGGACATCAGGTCTACACACATATTCATGCCAAAACTCTTTTATTTTAATTCAAATAAATAACATGTGGTGAAGATCTAATTACAAAGTCATATATCAACTGGGTTTCTCATCACTAAAATAACTCGTGATTCCTCAATAACAAACATAGGTTTTGTTTATTTTTTTATTATGTTGTGGGAGGAATTTAAATTACCTCAATTGCTGAGCCATTTCACCATATTTCTCC